TGTGGTGGCCAGAGTCTCGGGAGAGGGTGGACAAGAGGTGCCACCCTCTGCTCCTGCTGGGGCCGCTGTGTCTTCCCGAAGCCGAGAGCAAGGACAAGGGACGCCCCCACCCCCATGAGAGTCACCTGTAGTACTTGTTAAAGGTCCGGCTTCCTGAACTACACAATCAGAAATTCTCGGGGTGCGCTCTAGAATTGTAACTGGAGAAACAAAAAAGCCACCCCAGACAAACCCTGCATACACTGAAGAGAATCATTTTGTTAGAGCTCCCCGCTGTTTGGGAAATCCAGCTGCCCTTCCGTGATCCTGGGTGAGGACCTGGGCAGCCTTCCCTCCTCCTGCTGGCTCTACACCGCACGCCTTTAGGGTTCCCAAAGTCAAGGAGCCCATCCCTACCATTCCACTCAGTGACCACAGAGATGTGCACATCCACAGGCCTCAGTTTCTCATCTGGACAATGGGCAGGCGATACGGTGCCTTGGGGTCTGTCTCAAGGCTAAAATTAGGCACACAACCCTGAAGCCCTGCCACACTGTGCTCTGAGGAATCACAGATTCTAGTCCTATAAAAATGGAGAACCTGAATTTCTCTTAATATCTGGGGGGAGAAGGGAAGGACTGCTTTCTTTTCTCAGAGTGAAATTAAAAAGATCCCTTGTGGGACCAGCGCCATGGCACAGGGAGTTAAGCCACTATTTGCAGCAGTGGCATCCCATATGGGCACCAGTTCCTGTCCCAGCTGCTCCACTTCCGATCCAGTTCCCTGCTAATATGCTGTGGGAGACCCGGATGGGGTTCCTGGCTCCTGGCTTCAACCAGGCCCAGCCCTGTGTCATTGCTTCCATTTGGGGAGTGAATCAGCAGATGAAGATCTCCTCTCTCAGTGTCTCCCTCTCTTGTTGTGGCTCTTTCAAATAAACGGATAGGGGCCAGTGCTGTAGCGCAGCAGGTTAAAGCCCTGGCCTGAAGCTCCGGCTTCCCACATGGGTGCCAGTTCTAGTCTCAGCTGCTCCTCTTCCAATCCAGCTCTCTGCTATGGCGTGGGAAAGCAGTGGAGGATGGCCCAAGTCCCTGGGCCCCTGCACCCACATAGGAGACCAGAAGAAGCTCCTGGCTCCTGGCTTTGGATCGGCACAACTCCAGCCGTTGTGGCCATCACGGGAGTAAACCAACAGATGGAAGATAGAATTCTCTCTCTATCTGTACCTCTCTCTGTAACTCTTTCAAAAAAAAAAAAAAAGAAAAGAAAAGAAAAGAAAAGAAAAGAAAGAAAGGAAAAAATAATCTTATCATTAAAAAAATGGATAAATGTTAAGAAAAAAATTTTTTCTTTCCATATCCAATTTCCAATTATCTGGCACAGCCATTTTTTTTAAATGTCCATTATTTTCGTTAAGTTCTTTGCACAGCCCAAACAGGAGGGGGAGAAGTTTACAAGGTTACAGCCTACTAGCTGCCTTCAGCACCTTGCTGATAACTGAGGCTCTTCACACCCTGCCCATCACGAAATCCTCCCAGTCTCCTCATTTTACAGTCCAAGCCACTGGTGCTCAGGGAGCTGGAACTGCCCGAGGCTGCACAGCCAGGCTGTGAGCTGCAAATGCAGATGCAACTCTGAATTTCTCCACGTTTGTCCTGTGTCCCAGCAAGACAACGCCGAGTTCCAGACACAGCAAAAGCAACGGCACCAAATGCCACACAGACCCATGAGCCATCCATCCCCTCCATGGCACGGCGGCAGCGCTAACCAGCCAGCCACACATCCTAACAGCTTTCCACCAGGAGCTGCTGGAAGGCTGCGTGCACGGGGCAATGAGAGGCGGGACAGAGCAGCAGTCACACGAGCGAAAGCAATGCCAGGGATTTAGTCAACAGAGAGCTAATATGAGTCAACAGTGGGTGCTGCTGCCAAGCACACTAATGGGATCTTCGGCTGCATTAATACAAGGAAAGCGTCTAGGGCAGGCCAGGGGAGGGAGTCCCCCCCTGCTCAGCCCAGACCACACCTGAGGGCTATGCAGGGCTGGGCTAAGGAGAGGGAGGTGCCCTCCTAGGCAGGAGTGGCTTGAAGGTGGCACTCTGTCTGGAAGAGGAAGCTACTGGATTGCAGAGCAAGCCTTCAGAGTGCAGCTTAGAGACGGGTGTTTAAATGCATCCTTTTAAAAACTCACACTGCAGCAGACTGAAAAACCACTGGCTGAGTACTCAACCTGCACTACACAAGGGGGACCCACGCCCATCAGAGTTGGCCCTCTGGAGAGGATTAACAGTGGCTTCCTCCTTCATCATACAGACCCGGGGGCTTTGGGTCTGAGCTCCTGTGTTCTCAAGTATCAGACTCCAGAAAGTCGCCCAGTGCCTCCCCATCCCATCTGCACCCAGCGTTGAGTCTGGGAGTGCCTGTCCTCTCCCTCAAGCATCATTCAGAAGAAAAAAAAAATGTGTTGCCACTCATGTTTCCCAAGAGCCTCCAGATCCAGCTTGGTGCTGGGCACATGAAAGATGCCCAATCCACAGAGCCTGAGCTGATCAGCGGAGCCACAGCCAGGTCACACTGAGGCTGTTAGTGTGTTTCAGAACACAAGTGTTCCCAGCAGAGCTAATAAAAGGTTTATGACAACACATAACCACTTACAGCATGGTGGGCGAAGGAGCTGTGAAGGCTCCCACCCCCAGGGAGTTTTCATGACAAAGGGGCCACAGTTAGCTTGGCCAGGTCCCTGGGTGCCCACAGATGTAAACAGGGAGAAGGCAGCTCAGGGTGGGTACAGTGGTCACAGGTGGACCCTATGTGTGTGACACACAGCCGAGCAATGGCAGAGGCCAGGAAGTGGTAGAAACTCAGGAACACACAGAAAAGAATAATGACACATGGGACCAAACACCAAAAAAGGAGAGCATGAAAATTGGATCCAGTGGGAGGTGGGCCTGGGGACCAGCACAAAGCCACCAGGGAGCCGGCCGCCTGGCGCTAACCCTGCACTCAGAGTTCACTACAGGAGCTGCAGCTCTGATCCAGGAGATCTGTGCAGGAGACCGTGCGATGCCATTCCAATAGCCAATCAATCTTTCAATCGATGAGCCATGCTAGCTGCTCATTCTTCTTCATCCTTCCTCCCTGAGAGCTCACAGGACAAAAGCCAGCATTTGCTGGTGTGTGTGTGCATGTGTGTGTGCGCACGCGTGCCTAAATAAAATAAGGAGTTCACTAACTCACATGTGAATTATATCCAGAACCTGCCATCCAGATAAACCTGGACAGGGAGAAGTCTTTGCTCTCTGCTAAATCAGGGAAGATACCTTGTAGGAAGCCCAGGGTCTCCTCCCTGCACCCCAGGAGGCCCCCGCCATCCATGACAACCCAGCCTTCCCTGCCTGGCCTGGCCGTCTGTATGTATGTTTGGATCTATTCGCCAGGCAAGCCTTTTACTCCGCTGGCATGTTCATCTCAGAAACACCCACCTGCCAGGAGCAATACCGTTTATAAACGAATTATCCCCGGGGAGCAGACAGAAAACCACGGGCAAGGAGCACTGCCCAAGCACCCCAGGATAGCGTTCCTCTCCCAGCTGCAAGCTACGCCACATCCTCCCCAGCGCCAGCTGCCCACTCCAGCACAGCCAGCTCTCCAGGCCTCCACTCCCAGCCCGGGAAAAAGCCCCAGAGCCTCCTTCTGAGAAGCAGTCACATTTTAATGCTATTTTAAAGACAACAGTTCCAAGCACCCACTGGAACACTGGCTCCTTTTCCATAAATTAAAAAGACCCTAAAAGGGTATTTTCACAACAAAATGAAAAACGATAACCTATGGAGAGCACAAGGACCCACCAAAATAAAACTGCCAGAAATGCAAACAGTCTCAAAATCAAGCCTAAACAGACAGGCGGTTCAGCCCCAGGCAGGGAGGGTTGTGATTTTTTTTCACGGGAGACCCTGGCACCTTCCTAGCCCTCTTGAAAAGTCCAAAGAATCCCCACCACCCCGGAAGGCCTAAAAGCTTTCTCTGAAGTCTGGGCACGTCATCTCTCCCGCTGCAAGCGTCCGGATGATCTGTAACATCCATCTAACACCCAATTACGGCCGTGTCCTCATCACACCCAAAGATTCCCGAAGGCAGCATCTGCCGCAGCGCCGGGTGCACACGGCAGGCGCCCCGTTAATGGGTGACTCTGATTGGATCTGATCTGGCCCCTTCGGCCACAGAGACTCCGGCAGCCAGCGCCCTGTCGGGGACAGCCGCGCCGGCCTAGCTCGCTGCGGGAACGGGGCGGGGTGCAACCACCTGTGGGCGGGCGGCCTGGACGCGGGCCCCGCGCGCAGCCAGCCGTCCTGGGGTGCCCCCTTGGCCCCACGCACGCTGTCCCCAAGGAGCGGGGGAGCCCAGCTCCGCGGCTGACTCCCAGCGGCCCCGCCAAGGCTCTGCCAGCGCGAAGTTGACCAGGTCCCAGAGTTAGCTCCCGGGGCGCCCTAATCCGGCGAGGCGGCGGGGAGAGGGCCTCTCTGGGAAAGGGAGTTGGGGACAGCTCAGGGCAGAAGGGGGTCTCTAAGGCTCTCCCAAACTTGGAGTACCTGCCGGCTCCAGCGTCTCAACAAGACCGGGTGCCCAGTTTGGGGTGGGTGTGAGGGATTAAGCGGCCACCCTGGGGCAGCCCCGTACGGCTCTGAGATTTTTCCACCCAGCATCCAAAAGGCCCCCACGCTAGATCCTGGGGGCGGACGGGCAACACTGGCCAGGAACACCGGCCACCCGTGCCAAGGGGCGGGGACTCGGGACGTGGGGGCTGTGCGCGCCGGCCAAGACAAGGTGGGCGCCAGGAAAGCGTCAGGTGCCAAGCAGGGGGGCGGGGGTCAACGATGAGGCCCGAGATTGGTGGCCCGCGAGAGAAGGCGGCTCAGGAGTGCGCCCAAACCGCCATGGGGGAGGGGATTCCGGAGGGCCGCCAGGGGAGCTGCCCCGAGGGGCGCAGGAAGCCAGTGCCCCGGGTCGGCCCCGTCACTCACCGGCAGGTCCACGCTCACTTCGGTCCCGTCGAGCAGGAAGACTCGGCAGTAGAGGGTGGCCTTAGCGGCGCCGGCGGCGGAGATGTGCACGGCCGCGCCGCCCGTGAGCAGGGGCCCGCCGCCGGCCGGGAACACGCTGCCCCCGGGCGCGGCGGGCAGCACCGAGGGGGCGGCGGCAGCGGCGGCCGGGCCCCCCCGGAACCCCCCGTCGCGCTCGTCCCCCAGCCCGGCGGCCCCGCGCCCCGCCGCGCCGCGCGCGTAGCGCTGCATGGAGCGGCGGCCAAAGGTCCGGCGCAGGAACCGCAGCATCCTCTGGCTGGGGGCGCCCCCTGCCTCCGCCCCCAGCGCCGCCCGCTGCGCCGCCGCCGCCGCCGCCCGGGAGCGTCCCGCGACGCCGTCAGTGCCCGCGGCCGCCGGCGCCACCAGCACCGCCTCCCGCGGGCTGCGGCCCGGGGCTCGCTCCCGCCGAGGCGGAGGCCGAGGCCGCGCGCCGGCCGCCTGCGGGGCGCGCCGGCCGGGCCAGCGCCGGCCGCGGGTGGCCGCGGGCGGGAGGACGCGCTCGGGGCGGCCCCGGGGCCGTCCGGCCGCCGCCGCGGCAGCTGTTGCTACTGCCGCCGCCGCCGCCGCCCGCTCTCCCGGGCTGGCGGCCTGCGCGGGCTTCGGAGGGGCCGCTCCCGACGGCCGGCCTCGGGCAGCCCGGGGGCTGCGGAGGACGCGGGGGGCGGGCTGCGGGCTGCTCCCGCGCCGCGCGCCGGCCGAGGGCCAGCCGGAGCAGGGCGCCTGCGTGCTCCCGGCGCGCTCGCTCCCACCCGCCGCGCCGCGCCCGGGGCCCGAAGAGGCCCCGCCGAGCGCCAGCTCCCAAGGCGCCTTTTTCTGAGCCCGCGGCCCCCGCCTCCCACCTGGGAGGCTGCACCTCCAGCCGCCGCCGCTGCCGCCGCCGGGACTGCAGCACGCCCTCCTCCCTCGGGGCTACGCTGGGTAATTGCAAGCCGGGTCTGTGCTGCCCCCTGCCGGCCCGAGCGCCCCCTGCTGCTGTAGGTGTGCTCACGTATGTCCACGTAGGTGAGCACACACGTGTTTCCGGCGGCCCGAGCCCTGGAGACGCCCCGAGAGTCCCCTTCCCCCGGTTAGGGAAACAGCTCCGTGTGCCCTCCAAAAGCCTTGCCCTGGAGGCCTGGGAGGGAAGCTTGGCGTTAAGTTTCTCCTCCTGGAAAAAAGAGCGCACTCAGTTCCCCTTGTGCAAGAGGGGGTGCACTAGGTAACCCGCAAGTCGTGCCCGTTGAAGATCTCAGAACTGGAAGAGCTCCTTTAGCCAGTCCAGTCCAGTGGACTTGTCCAAATAAGGAAATTAGGCCTGGCACGGAGAGGAAGTACTTTTCCAGCGTACTGTGCAGGAAAAACACCTGCTGGTATGGGGCAAGGGCCTGAGCAAGTGACTCCAACTGAGAGACCAAGAGAAGGCTGAACAAACGACGGGGAAGCAGAGAACTGGGCGCTGAGAATGTAGGGGGCCCGCTGAGAGTTTGGGGCACAGGGGATTGTTTGGAAGCCATGCCTTGCAGGTTCCAGGTCTGCATCAGAGAGAAGCGGGTTGTCCAGTGTGGCCGGGTGAGGCATGTGGCTGAAAGGAGGTCAGGCCTCTTGGGAGGAATAACAGGGCTCTTCATGCGCTCTTAATCCTGCGCCAGGCACCGTGTTAAGCCGTCTCCATTCATCGGCTCTCTTAATCCTACAGGCAGCCTGGTTGGAGAGGATTTCACCCCATTGTACAGAGGAGGAAACTGAAGCTTAGAGAGCTTAGGTGACTAGCCCTGGGTTGCATGGTTAATACGGGCTCCTTGGGCTCTGGGTCTTGGCTCCTAACCACTAACCCTGCGTGACTGGCAAGCAAAGGAGGGTCTTTGAGAGGCCTGGGGATTGTGGTGCCTACAGTAAAAGGGGAGGAAAGGGGAGGGAGGGGGTCAGGAGGTTTTGCAAAGTACACTTGTTGCAAATCAGGCACTGTCCCCGGTGATTTCCCGACATTCTCACTCATCCTTGCCCCAGCCCTGCCAGGTGGTTCTATGTCGCTCCCCCTCTTCGTGGAGGAACGACACAGGACCCTGCGCTGTTCTTTGGTCTGCTCGGCCCTCCCCGGGTTTGCTGCTGGTTCTTCCCGGGTTGGCTACCGACCCTTCCACCTCCGTGGAAGGGCGGTTCCCCCTGCCACATTCCCCACTTCCGCAGGGGAGCAGCACACCGCCGCCGGCTCTCTCGGGGCTGCACAGGTGTTCCCTCAGATGTTCCCCTTAGATGTTCCTGGTGCATGCCGTCTCTCTCCTCCTTTATAGTCCTCTTCCACCAATCCCAACTCGGCTGCCCACACGCCGAGTACGCTGCTCTCCTCCAATCAGGAGCAGGATCAGCTCCTGGAGGTCATCACTCAAGTTGGCAAGAGGCAGCTGCGTAGAAGCTGTTTTCTCCTCTCCCAGCGCCATATTGTGGGAGAGCAAATGCATAGAATAAGTCTTAATTCCAGTAACTTAGTCTAGTCTGAGTTGCTCCCCACAGTTCTATTTATCCTACTCACTTGGGTGGTGTTTACAGCATAGAGACATGATTATCCTGCAGGAGAGCTCTGGTTCCTGAGTGGCAGCAGCCAGTCCCCTGGCTGGTTGTCTAGTATTAATGTCCCCGTTATGGGGGGTCTCCCATGGGACAATGCACTCTGACCCACCCTGCTTCCCACACACCAGATGCCATGGGCAAGTGGTAACCACTTCTGCTCAGTGGTTCCTGGGAGAGCCCATTCCTACCATATAATCCAGGAGTGCTGTGGTAAACTGAATAACGCACCCCCTCCAAGGTGTGTACATCCCAACCCCAGAACCTGCGACTATGTCACCTTACGTGGAAACGGAGACTTTGCAGAGCTAAGTGAGTAAAGACGACCAAGCTGGGTGGATTATCCTGGCATTAACCCAGTGGATCCCCAGGGGTCATTAGAAGAGGTGGGAAGAGGCCGGCGCCGCGGCTCACTAGGCTAATCCTCCGCCTTGCGGCACCGGCACACCGGGTTCTAGTCCCGGTCGGGGCGCCGGATTCTGTCCCGGTTGCCCCTCTTCCAGGCCAGCCCTCTGCTGTGGCCAGGGAGTGCAGTGGAGGATGGCCCAGGTGCTTGGGCCCTGCACCCCATGGGAGACCAGGAAAAGCACCTGGCTCCTGGCTCCTGCCATCGGATCAGTGCGGTGCGCCGGCCGCAGCGCGCCGGCCGCGGCGGCCATTGGAGGGTGAACCAACGGCAAAGGAAGACCTTTCTCTCTGTCTCTCTCTCTCACTGTCCACTCTGCCTGTCAAAAATAAATAAATAAATAAATAAATAAATAAAAATAAAAAAAAAAAAAAAGAAGACGTGGGAAGGAAGGAAGGAGGGTCAGAATCAAAGAAGGGGCTGGGACCATGGCGGCAGAAGTCAGAGTGATGGGTGTGGGAGCCAAGGGCTGAGGATGACTGCTGGAGGCTGGGAAAAGGTAAGGCAAACAGTGCTGCTGGAGATTTCAGAGGGAGTGCAGCCTTGGATTTCTAACCTGTAAGATCTAGCGGAGACTTCTGAGTGCCAGAATAAAATAATGCATTTGTGTTGTCTTAAGCCACCAAGTCTATGGCGATTTTTAAAAACAGCAATAGGAAACTAATACAAATGCAGTATTCTTTTAAGATTGATTGGTTGGGGGCCAGCGCTGTGGCGCACTAGGTTAATCCTTCGCCTGCAGCACTGGCATCCCATGTGGGCATCGGTTCTAGTCCCAGTTGCTCTTCTTCCAGTCCAGCTCTCTTCTGTGGCCTGGGATAGCAGTGAGATGGCCCAGGTGCTTGGGCCCCTGCACCCACATGGGAGACCAGGAGGAAGCACCTGGCTCCTGGCTTCGGATTGGCACAGCTCTGGCAGTTGCAACCATTTGGGGAGTGAACCAACAGAGGGAAGACCTTTCTCTCTGTTTCTCTCACTGTCTGAAACTCTACCTGTCAAATAAATAAATAAAATCTTAAAAAATAAAAGATTGATTGATTGATTTGAAAGGCAGAGTAATAGATCTTCCATTCGCTGGATCATTCCCCAAATGGGCACAACAGCCAGGGTTGGGCCAGGTCAAAGCCAGGAGCCCCATCTGGGTCTTCCACATGGACAGCAGGGACTCAAGTACTTGTGCCTTCATCTGCTGCCTCCCATGATGCTTTAGCTGGGATTTGGGTCAGAAATGGTGGAGCCAAGACAGGAACTGGTGCTCCAATCTAGGATGCAGGCATTGCAACCGGTGGCTTGACCTGCTATGCCACAACACCTGCCCTGTGCATGCGGTATTCAATGATGGTTTGGTGCGTGACAGTTTTCAGAGCCCTGCCGCCCCTGTTCATCGCCCCTGGAACTCTCACAGTGCCAGCCCTCCCCCAGTAAGCCTCTTTCAGCTGACTGTCCATGGTCATCATCTCCCACTCTCAGCACCACGAGGACAACACGTTTTCTTATTCATTCTTGTTTCCTGCTGGTTGGTAAGTTGTAGTCATTCAATAAATGTTGGTTGAATGAATGCAGGATCTAATTTCATCCTCATAGGAGCCCTGTAGGGCCTGCATTGGTATGGCCTGGAGATGGAGGAAATTAAGATTGGAGCAGAGCCTGGACTCGCACTCCTGTCCCCTGACTGCAGGTTCCATGTGCTGTTTAAAGGGTCCTGTGGTTGTGACTTGTGCGTGGACTGCAGGTGGCCTCAGCTTTTCCTGTACCACCGCTGCGTCAGGCACTGTCACCCAACAGACCTCATTCCATCCTCACTGCAATATGGATTTAAGCACTGTTCTCTCTGTCACACGTAGGAGAACCCAAGGCCCAGGAGTTCCTTTGACTGACTTCCCCGTTACTCAAGTTTCTGCCTTAGAATTTCGGTAGCTGATGAGCAAGTTGCCTTTTGTCCACAATGTTGTTTCAGGAATCGTTCTTTCTTAATCTTCGCCTATCAGACCTGAAGTCCCTGTCTCTGTTATCTGAGCTCTGTAATCAACCCTTCAGAGATTTCAGTCACCCTTTCTGGGCCCCCCTTGTGTGCCCAGAGTGAGTGGGTCAGAGTTGCACACATATCCTGTCAAGGCCTCGCTCTTCTACGGCCATTTGGTCTGCAAACTATTTTTCAGTGCTACCCTCTAGATGTTTGTGAAACCCTAACCACCAAGGTGGGGGGGGGGGCAGGCTCTGGGGGTACGAGCTGGCATGAATGACCTTGATGCACTTACTAAAAGAAGCCCCAAGAGAGTTCTACTGCCCTCTCCACTGTGTGAGGATACAGGGAGAAAGGTGCCATCCATGAGCCAGAAAACAGGCCCTGGGAGACACAAAACTTGTTGGTGCCTTGACCTTGGACTTGCCGGCCTTCAGAGCCTTGGGCA